ATGTGGTCACCTCCGGGGCAGGCGGGAATCGAACTCATGCGGAAGCGGCTTTGACTTCTTAGTGCTGTGCTTTAACCCGCTGCGCCACCAGGGAGGGCAGTTGGTGGGTATTTGTGTGCCCTTGCCTGAAGTGGCTCTCTTTTAGGTAGTATACAGCCAGGTCTTGTTACTTAATCCACCCAGTCACAGCATTATCTTCTGATTGGAGAATTTAGTACATTTACACTTAAGTTCATTCCTATCTGTAATTACTCTATCACTGTTTTTTTATTGTTTTCTAACTACTCTGTTCTCTGTTCCTTTCTTCTCTTGCTTTCTACTTTTGATGCTTTGTTTCAATTAGTTTCTCTTTTGTTTCATAAGTTTTACTTTAAAGTTGCCATAAGACTTGCATAACAATCTTTAAGTTGACAACAACTTAAGTGATCTACATTTTTGACTCCTCCCCCTTGTTTATTGATGTCACAATTTCCTTTTTATAATCTTTCCACTACCAAATTATAATTGTAGTTTTTAATACTTTTGTCATTTAATCTTAATACTAATTTTATGACTAATTAGCCCATCACCTTTACAAACGTAGCAAATCAAAATCAGTTGCTTTAATTTCCACTTCAGCAAAGATGGGTAAATTTCTGGATGGATCAGGAGAAATAACTGTTAACTGCTTGGAGCTATGTTTATTAATTTCCCAGACCTTGGAATTAGTAGGGTTAAACACACTTTTAAAACCATAACTCTAATGTGGTGTTTGATAAAGCTTCCTAATCCTTATTTCTTCATGATGCGATTCCCATTGTAGACTGCTGAACATCTCACATGCCTATATTTTATTTCAGGCAGAGGAAGACAAAAAAACTGAGCAGGATGCAGACTGATGAATAATTTGGACTAAAACTTCAAAGTTATAAACAGCAAGTTGAGATAGCAGATAAGTCCCTGGGATTTTTCCCTGCCCCCTTTTTTAACAAGTAGAGATATGTAGCCCCAAGATAGGTGAGCAGCTTCTTAGAGAGGGACACCTTGGTTTAGAGTCTTCATTGTCTGGTCATTCTATTAATTCTCGAGTTGGAATTATCACCTACAGTTAAAAAGTTATGCTACATTTCCTTCCTTCCAGGGTGCCAGAGTGCTCTGTCTCAATCTTGTGGTTCCACCCAAATATGTGCAGTCTAAGAAATGAACCATGTAAAGGTATTGTATCTTGTAGGGCTGGAACATTTTTGGTTGGGTAATTTTCCTCTAAAATCCTGTGTGAGCATGAATGCCATTCACAAAGCTTTTTCCTGATGAGCTTAGATGTGACAATGGACAAAACTACTATCCCCTGAAATGTATTTACCAACATTGGTTGATATTTATAACTACATGGAATTTAAGAAGTACCACATATATTGACATAGGCAACCTGTAAAATATAAAAACAAACCCCTGTATGCAGATGTAGAATAGGGAATTGAGCTGATTACGAAACAACTTTTGCTATTCTACTATATATCAAGTCTGCAAAAGCTGGACTATATACAGTTGATAGAAAGTGCCAAGCAGGTTTAAAGTTTCCAGGCAACAACAGTTATAGAAATGGATCTTGTGCCTCCATCACTATATATCATACCCGAATATAATATTCTATTCAATACTCAGAAGTACAGATTCCTTTCACACATTTTTTCAACTTTTTTATGTCACAGCAGGAAAAAATATGACTATGTAGGCACTGGGAATTTTTTTTTCATTTTTTATTTTTATAGACGCACAAGCCAATCAATATCTTTCCAGGTATAAGAAACAGAAACATGAGTTGCATGAAGCTAAGGAAAGGGCAGAGATAACAGAATGTCAAGTCAATAAATTCAAGATTAAAGCAGAAGAGTTTGGGAAAAGGTATGTCAAATATTAACCTTATCTAATTCTTAATGCACATGTGTTTAGAAATCATGTCATCCCATAACCAGAATAACCAGAAACGTCTTGTTTTTCTCTTTAAAGCTAAAACACAGTAACCAAAAAGCCCCCAGGTTCTAATCAAATCTTTGAATATTGAATAAATTCTACTTGTCCAAGTAGTATTAAGTGCTCAGCATTTGAGCAGGATGTACATTGTATTTGTAATATTCAAACACTTAATTCTAGGTTAATTTTCATGCTCTTGATTCCAGGGAACAGATGAATTTGTAGAGAACAGTGGGGAATCCAGGGAGAAAAGATGATTTTAAAAGCAGAGATGGATCTGCTTGAAATTCCAGGTAAACTCTTTCTATGGTATACGAGCGTATGACTTTTGTAGCATATCATATGGAGATCTGGGGACAGGTTTAAGAGAGGCAGGTAGTAAAACAAATTCAAGAGGCCTGATACCTAGCTTTCTGCCCTGAAACAGTGAAAGGAACTCTCCATATCTGTGGCCTGTGAACCGGCTGTTCTGATCCAGTAATAGACACCTCTCTCCTAATTTTACTGGCAAACTGGTGGATCTCAAAAAACATTGTTCTGGACTCTTGTAACAATACCAGAGGTTAGGTTAATAAATGAATATTTATTTTCTATACTTTTGAAGGTTGGGAAGTCCAGGATCATGGCACTGGCAGATTCAGTTTCTGATGAAGAACACTTCCTGATAGTCTTCTCAATGTAACTTCACATGATTGAAAAGCAAGCAGCTCTGTGGATTTTTTTTTTTAAAGATTTTTTTATTCATACAGAACTGGGGTACAGGCCAGAGATGCGGAGGGTGAGAGGATTCTCACAGGCCAGAGATGCAGAGGGTGAGGGACAGAGTGGGGAGCAGAACAGGCAGATCAACGAAGTACACTGCTGAGGGGAGCAGCGGGCGGGTCAGGAGAGGTCTGCCACGCCATGTGGATCACCTCCGGGGCAGGCAGGAATTGAACTCATGAGGAAGTGGCTTAAGCTTCTTAGTGCTGTGCTTTAACCCGCTGTGCCACCAGGGAGGGCCCAAGATTTTTTTTTTTTTTTTTTCAAATGAAGGTACTGGCCCTTCCTGGGGACTCTATGCCCCTATTCCCTAATAATACTACAGTATTAGGATTAGCATGCTGGGATTTTGGTGGTGGTAGTGGGGGGAGTGAATAAAAATATCCAGACCATAACAGTCAGTATAACTTAGCTTCTCATTGAGATATTCCCAATGGCACATATCTGGTCTTCTTTCTTACTATAGTGCCAATAAAAGTCACTACTTTAAGGGAGGTCAAAGGGTCTCTTTTAAAGGACAAATTAAAGGTTGGTAATGTTGAACATATTTAGCTCTAAATATGAAAAGTATGAGTCATTGGCAGACTCCAGATACTTTCTTATTGATGTCTGAATAGCTGTCTTGGCTATAAAGCTTATATGGAGAAGTCTAGCTAAGTGGTTTGAACTCTGGCCTCAATTTGAGAAATGTTATGGCACTGGATTTGGGGTGTTCTATGCAAAGTCTGCCCCCAACTCCATACAATGGATTTGTTTAGGGCAGTGTCTCACACATGCTGCAGTTGCACTCTACTGCTGGAAGTCAAAGAGTCTCCACAACAGATGTAATGCATTCAACTTTGTCACAGTTATTTTCAATAAAGAATAAAATGAGTGAAGCAGAAATTGCCTCCCAGAGGCCAGAGATGATTTCAAAACTGTCCTTGGCAATGCAATGACTAATTGTTTCCACTCACAGAAGCAAAGTCTCTCTTAACTGTCATAAAACAAAGGAAAGGATTTTCTGATAAAATTGTGTCTGGTTTGAGGATTATTGATGGGGCTATTGTCTGTCCCTTCATAGAGTCTTGTGGAAAGGGTACTGCCTTCACTGGCAAACACCAACAAGGTGGGCAAATCATTGCGAGTGACCAAGCATGCCCCTGAGTTGAATTACCTATCAATGTCTGTTTTCTACAATGCCCATAATGACGTCAACTCCCTGCCTCCCTCTGAAGCTTATGAAGACTTGGCTAAGGCCTGCTTACCTCTGGAAAGGATTGGGCTTGGCTCTGGGAGTGTGTTCCACTGCTGAAAATCACAGGCATCTCACAGAACACACCAATAATTGTCTTTCAGACTCAGAATAAGCAGTCCTTGTGTGTGAAGGACAATGCTGAGACTTACAAGAAGTATACCTGGTCGAAGAACTAGAATTGAACTTGAAACAGTTAAAATAGCATATATTTGGTATGAAAATAGTCTACATAAGGTGATTCAAAAATGTAATAAAGGATATACTGTTGCATCCAAGAAGGATGATTTGATTCTAAAAATGTAAGTAAACATTTTACATGAAAGATTGAGAATCCTTTAAAGTCTAAAGTTAAAAAATAACTTATTTCATGTCCCTACTGTCTCCACATGTAATAATCATAGAAGTTCTACTTTAACCAGTTAAGGTCCATGAAGACCAGGGCATGTTGGTAAAGGAGTTGCTGAATTTTGCTTGACTCATGCAAATCTACCTATGAGTTGGTATTTTTAGCTAGGATTGATAAACTTCTCACTTTTGAATATTTAAAAACTTTTACTGTGATGTAACTATCATACTTAGTAACTTTGTACTTGTAGGTAAACCCTCCAAATAGACACAGGTGCTGGCTATGTAGTGATACAGACTTTAAATACCAAGGAAAATCCAAGAAGTTCTGTGCTCATTTTCTAGGATTGCAATTATGCAGATTTAGCAAGCTGACTTCCCAGAATTCCTTTATCTCTGGTTCTGGATCAAAATGGTCATGAGAAATTTTCAGAACAAAAAATTGAGAGGCAGAAGTGAAGTATCTATTATTTTTGCTCCTAAAGTCAGTTATGGCTCCACCACTGTAATAGTTGGCAAATATAATTCCAGGAGAAAGTGAGCTAGCAGAGATCAGCAGCAGCTCCCTGGACATACAGCTCTTCCAGCTGCTGTCAGTTTCCTCCTCATCCTCGCAGAGTCCTGTCCAGGGCTGTGGGCGACTTGAAGGCAATAAACACCAGTGTCTCCTACACATCACCTGTGTCACTGATTTTGGAGGCCTGGAGAGACACATACAGGTTCCAGTTTGTCCCTCTTCATTCCCTGTCCAGCTCTCCTTCCTGACCCAGAGTAGTGTCTTCAGGCCCAGCACCAGAAGTAGAGTGCTATCCCACTGCCCACAGTTGTGTAGAGGTGAGTATGATAAATCTTCATCGTCATTCTCAGCAGCTTTCCTCTTTGACCCAATCCCCAACTCATAACTGTAAAATGAATTCATGAGCTCAGCAGTGCTGAAGGAGCACAGGTTCCTGCTTGTCTGCCATCCTCCATGTGTTGGCTTTGGTTTTTAAAATTTCCCCTCTCATCATTGTAAGGGAACTACCAACAGTTCATTTTTCCTTCGCTTTATGTCATATGGTCCTTTCTAAAATCAAGAAGACTTCTGGAACACTTTTCCAGTCCTACTCACCCTATTTCTTTAGGTGCCTGTGCTGAGACAGTCCCATGTTAAGGAAACTGCTTGCCTGGTTTGACTCAGATCAAGGCTGTGCCTGACCCCGAGGGTCACTTGGAACAAGGTGAGCTAACTGAATGTTCTATTTAGGGGCTGTAGAAGGCAGGTGACATGGCCACCGAGTGAACTACCAAAGATATCTAAATACTGTATCCAGGGCAGTGTTTTTTTCCACTAATCTTACCCCAGAGAAAACATTAAATGCTTAACATGAAACTATTTGAAGATTTAAAAAAAAACTATAAAATCTTGATAAAATATGCTTTCCTAAAAACAATTTTGAAATTACCCTGTAACAAGCAAACATTTACATCTAGGAAACATCTCTATTCTTCTTATAAGTTTGCTGTCACCTTGCCAACCCTGAATGCTGACATCCTCTCCTGCTCCCAACCCTCAAGACAGATTCAGTAAAAATCAGATAAACTTCAGCTTGGAAAAAATCTGCTTTTGTGATTTATTACTAAAATTATGTTTTCTCACTTAGGCATACATTTTTCATAAAAGGAAGTAAGATTAGTAGGAGCCAAAGATGTCATATCTTTACAGTGATTTCTTAATACTTTATCAACACCTGTCACAAGATTGTAGCACCCTGAGTTTATGTAAACAATAGGGATTTCACAGTCCAGGAATTAGACCCCCATTTATTACAAGTTTTTTCTGTAATGCTAGACTCAGACTTGATTGTGTAAGTTAAAAAAATCTAAAGTGACAGTTCATAATTAACAGTGACTTAAAAATCCATTAAAAAGAAAGCTAATAAATCTCTCCTAGCATAGAAATTTGTTTGAAAATATAAACTTATTAGGAGGTTGGTTAATTTTCATAACTAAAGTCACTTAGCTATACACACCTGGTGTTGAAAGATATAATCCAACCCAGACCTCCTGAGTTCATAGAATATTTTGTGTCCATATAGTACATCTTAGTTGAACTCTTGAAAGATCCACTCATGGAAAAGTAGAGTATCTTAGAAAATAAGTGGTTCAGTGTCCGTGCTCTGGTTTTTTACTAAGATACCTTCTGTTCCACCTGTCATTCATTGGTCAGATTTTGAATCAGACATAGGGGATATACTTCTTACAAGCTCCTGATGGAAACTTTACAGTTGTCTCTTGTGCTGACTGCAGTAGGAGTGAAAATGCATGAGACTTCTGTGAGCTGAATGGAACTCCTTGGCATCCAGGCACTGATGCTGGTAGGCTGTCAATGAATGATGCTAGGGTCATGAGGGATGAATATGATACTGGAAAAGAATAGGTACAGATCTTTGCCATCATTGACAGGAAGGGGAGGTGAAGTCACTGGCTATTAAGGATGCTTGTCATCAGTTCTGTCTTTGGATTTCTTGAAAGAGGCCAGAATCAAAGAAAATGAACACCAAATGGTTATCGTTTGAGTCAGAATAATAACGTAAATATTTAACAATGATAGTGCTTTATTTTTGAGGAAGCTTGAAGCTGTTCGCAACTGAAACATGAGACAGAAAATAAGTCATTATGAAGTTTGCGTTTTATCAATTTTAATTCCCTCACTAGACGTATCTGAGTTTTTAACAAGTAGGAAAACAAGTTTATCCCATTCTGCTCTTATTTATATTCTGATTAATGGAATTCATAATAAAATGCATGCAGCAAAGAGAGCATATATTATCAAACCCCAATTCAAGATCAGCAGCCTGAATCTGGGAAAGCTGTAGTCTGCTTTTCTCCACTTTTTCTGTGACTACATTTCTTCCCAATTCCGATGGAAACATGGGATTATATACAAGAATTAGCACATTGGTGTCCCCTTGTATACATAGGGCCATTGGAGATGGACTCTATAAGTAATGACAGGTGCAACCATTTAAGAGGCTCTTCTTAAATAATTATAGACACTGGGAGGTTTTTCTTCTATTAGATTTTATCTTTATGAAAGTCTTGCATGTTTTTTTAATTAGTAAAACTTCAGTTACCCGTTACAACGGTACTCTTGTGTTATAAATGATTAGAAAAAGGAAATTACTTACTGTGTTTCCTTCTGCATTATCAGTATTGGACATTTCTATAAAGAGAAAGAGAACTTTAAAATTATGTTACCAGAATCACCTCAGTCACTTTTCATTTTTCCTAACAGCATTATGAATGTGTTCAGTATAGAAAGAATCAGAAACTAGAAACTAAATGCTTATGGCTGATTCAAAGGGAAGATGAAAGGCAGCTCAACCTTGCCATAAATCTCTGGCTTTTAGGATTATTGACCTTACTCCTACCTATTGTTACTAATGGAAAATAACCGTCAACAAATTGATGGGTAAACTGAAAGAGATTGTTAAAGAGAGGGGGTATAATTTCACTTCTTAAGGAAGCCCCTCCTGGGTCTTGCTAAATTTTTTTTTCTTTTTTACATATTCTAGACTATGGACATTTAAAATAGAGCCAAAAAGTATTAAACAAGAAAACACGCAAACCTCATTTTATGAAGCTACAACCAGGGACCCTGAAGGTAGGCAAGACTAAAATATATTTTCAGCTCATCTAATTACTGAATGATAGAATAATTCCTGTTTTTAAAAAAGTGGTTAATACCTTATTTTCCATCTGCTTCTCCAGAATTAGGAATTTTGAAGGGAGTCATTTCTGCATTGTCTTCCTTCCCAGGGTGGTTCCTTCTTTTGGATTCTAGTTAGGATAAAAATCAGAGAAGGGAAGAGCAAAATCAGGTACTTATTCTTTCCCTCTCTCCCCTTAAAGGACACAGCCAACCCCTGGTGATCTTAGAGTGAAGGTGACTTCAAGTTTGGGTACTCCTCCCTCCCCTCGTCCCTTCAGATTCAGGTTTGCTTGCACATCCAAGGCTCCCACCTCTGGAGAGGACACCAGGGCACCTGGTTTGAGTATGCTGTGCATTTCCTGTTGGGACCTTACTCACGCATCATATTTAATGCACCACGAGGGAGGTCTTACCTGTACAAGGACAGGTGTGTCTTCTCCACATAAGAACTATGATGGGTAAGACCACCACCACCACCACCACCACAGGTATAACAATTTCCCAGACAGCTACTCTTTGATCTGTAAGTTGGAAAAAGATTACAAAAAAACAAACTTAAGGATGAGTAGGTAGAATATTTTTACCATTTCAAGAACCAGTTTTTGTGCATTTTGGATAGGAGGTCAATTTCATATTAGTAAAAACATTTCATAATGGAAAGATCCAGTAAAGATATGGGAAAAAGACCTGTCTGAACAAAACCTTTTCATGAACATGTACAAGTCTTAGTTTTGATGTTCCTGTTGTGAGAAACCTGCAAATACTATTCACCAGTTTGGGGTGTGGTGAGGGTGAAAGTCAGGTGAGAGAAATTGGGATAGGTGATATTATCTATAATTGTTTTGGAGTTTGTATTTTATGTTGCAGTAAAAATGCAATTTACAATGGAATAATTATGACTTCAAGCTAGCCTCTGTTCAGAATTTACCTTGTGAATAATGGGGATACAGTACAACATTGCCTTGAAGACAGGGTCCCAGGGGAACAGTGATAAGAAGTGCAGAGATGATGAGAAGAGCCAAGGAGGAGGTTATCACCACTGAGAACCTTAGACAAAGAACTACTGTGTTAATATTAAAGTAAGGACCCCAGAGACAAAAACCTGGTGACCTTAAGTTGCCAATGTCAAAACCTTGCTAAATTGTGATCTATGTTCTCCTGAACAAGGCAGCAAGTAGAAAATATCAATTTAGAATGGAAAAACAAGAGTGATGTGCAGGATCCTAGGACTGGCTGCCTGTTCTGACCTGCTAGAGTCCTTCTGCTTCAGGTTTCTGGTGGGAGGTGCCACACACTGTAAAAGGAGAGTAATCTCTTTACAAGTAAGTGTATGTTCCGCAATTTTCACAACTAGAATGACAGATTTGTTTGTGTGAAATAATTTGTGTTCTACTACTTGGTGACCTTTGGTAAAGTCTAGAGACCTATCATGGTCTCCCAGGCCTAGCTAATAGTTTAAGGGTAAGAGGGGACCACCAGCCTACCTAGAAAAGCAAATTTAGGAGTTCTCCTTACTCCTGGTTGAAGATATTTTGGGTTTTAGCAGTTTGCTATTAATGGAGGTAAAGAGTTGCATTAGGTATATAGTTTTTAAGGATGTATTTATTTGTGCATACAGAACTGGGGTAAGAGGTACCCCAGGCAAGAGGTACAGGGGTGGTGAGAGGATTCACCAGAGACAGTAGGGAGGCTGACTAATGAAGTACACTGCTGAGGGAGCAGCGGGCGGGTCAGGAGAGGTCTGCCGCGCCATTTGGATCACCTCCCGGGCAGGCGGGGATTGAACTCACGTGGAAGTGTTTTTAGCTTCCTGGTGCTGTGCTTTAACCTGCTGTGTCACCAGGGAGGGCCCATTTACAGTTTTACATGTACTTTGGTGACTATTTCTACCAGGTTCACAGACTTCTCTTTCTTAGGGTCCAGTAGAGCCCCAATTCTAACCTCCTACTGTTCCTATAAATACTCAGGCCTTAAGGGACATATTAGGCCCAATAGGAAGCAGAAATTGAAGTCCACAGAGTCACCAAAATATATAACCTCAAATTATTTCTGAAGCTCTGAAAAAAAGAAAAATCATGGACTATATGCTTCCTTTCAATGCAGGGGTATTGTGTGGTGAGAGAAGAAAACTTCTTGTACCTGGTGTATACCTTAACCAGAAATGTTATTTCTATAAATAAAATTTCAAAACTAGGTATTTTTTAACTATTAAGTATTCATTTTTATTTACATACAGTTTATAAACTAGGTATTTTTTAATGTCAACCTAATTGTTCTGTTTGCTCTTAAGTCTCTACTGCCATTGTCAAAACCCATTAGCCAATCCTATTGTTAACTTACCTACATGCAGTGTTTGGAGGGTGAGGAAAGTATAGTTGCTTGAAGAAATATGGCATAGGTATTCCCCATTGTCTAGAATTTCGAGTTCTTTCAATGTGGAAGAGAAATGTCCCTGATTTATTAGCTCTTTCTCCCATGATAGTCTGGGTTCATTGGTAACTATATTTTGTGAGGCGCTCTCAAACTTAGCCAGGATGAAGGAAGTCCCATTTTCCATTCTTGACCAGGTGACTATGATATCTTGATTTTGTTGGAAAAGATTGTTTGCAACATCACATGAAAATGAAACCTGTTCACTTTGCATTTTATGAAGATCATCTAACAATAGAAAAGTAAACACCAATGAAACAATTACAAATGAATTTTCTAAGTGGCACTTGGAAAATGAACTTAAGAAGTAGTGTTTCTGAGAAGCAATTAGATATTTGAGCTATGTAATTTATTAAAAGCTTTACTACCATTCTTTTAAAGTCTCCCACCAAGGCACTTAAGGTGGTGTAAGCCTGGGTGTTGAGGTGATAAACCTGGATTTAAACTCTTACAACCCTATAGTGAGTACTCATGAATGTTACTCAGTGTTGTTCACAACACAATTTCTTATGTTCCCTAAGGAACTCCTAGTAACCTCAATTACTTTTATGGTCTTAACCCTTTGGATCACTCTGGACATCGTCTCTCTTCCCAGATTTAACAAGCATTTTCCCTGGCAGATTCAAACTTGTGGCAGAGCAAGAACTTGTACTCACCTCTTCCCATGGACACAAGAAATCTGCAACTAAACATGGATTTATTTACACAAAAATAGATGTGAAACCCGGATGAATAAAATATCCACAAAGAAGAAAAGAGATCAGTATCGAGAGGCAGAGACCCAGGAAGAAACTTCCACCTGGGAATAATGAGGTCCAAGCAGGATAAGATCTCTAAGGTATGGAATTTTCCCTGGGGAGCAGAGAGAAGATTGTCTAACATCCACCATCCCAACTCTTCAATCTAGAACAGTAGGCATTGAGGTTAAGGAGACCAGTTCCAGTAATGCTCAATATGAACAGAATTAATTTTTCCATGTGAATTCTACCTCCCTTAGTTTAGTTTTTACAAGTTTGTCCATAGTATCTGGTACATAGTCTGAGAGTGACATAGCTTGATACATAATAGATCCTCAACAGGAGAAATAGCATAAAACTTAAGGAATGACTGATGTTTAGAATATTTAGTTCTAAAACATGGAAGTGAAATTTTCCAAAGAAAATTTTAAATGTAGTAACATTTTCAACCATTTCCTTTTCATTGCTATCTGATGAAAAGTTAATGGGTTTCAGTATCTCTAATGTACTGTTTTCTTGATAAACATTCTGAAAATTTAGGGCAAGAGATGGCCAAAAATAGAGCTAACCTCCACATTTCCCTATATGATGATTTATAGAAAAAATTTTTACTCCTTATAAGACACCACTTATCTAAGTCCAAGGAAATTATAACTCTTCCCACGCTTACTATTTTTTAAAATAATAGATCCCAGTTTGGGTTTGTTCCAATAAATGAAAGGGATGAGTTTTAAAACCTGTTCGTGCTGATAGAGTGTTGATAATGGACCAATACTATGATAAAAAGACTGAATTAAAACAATGGTATCAATTGGTTAATTTTTGTTTAGTAGAAAGACTGGCTAAGAATTAGAGGTTGTGACCTAATAAGCATTCTTTCTCTTTCTTACGATCTTTTAAAGTGAAATACAAGTAGAAAATTTCTGAAGAAGTTGAACCAGAGTGAGACTCCATTTCACCAGATTTTCCCTTCAACTCATCTTCCAAGGTAAGAATTACTGTTATATTATCAAGAAGGAACTAATATTCAGATGCAAAAATAAAATTATTTTAGGTAATACAGTCAATAACTATGAGACCTGAGATTCCTATCTTAGTCTTATTACTACAAATCTATCTTCTTTCTGTTCCTTTCTCTCCTTGTAAACCAAGCCCCATTCTCTCCCAAACCCCACGTACACAAAAGCCCCATGGTGCCTACCTTTCATCATCCAATGCCCTGTCCATGTTTGTTCCAACAATGAATTTTTAATAGCACATTCATAAGGCGATTTTGATCCTGTAACATTTACTGTACTGTTAATATGAAAAGAACCCAAAGATCCAATTTCTTCAACCCGGCTGTCAGTAATGGATATATTGTCCATGTGCCATGTGATGCTTGGACGAGGATAAACACTTAATATGCTACATATTAACATGCTGCTTGTGTCCCTTTTTTCATACTTCATCACAGGTGTGACAAAAGCTATGGAGAAGAAAGAAGGGCACATGAGCAACTGTAGAACTGTAGTTTAATACATGAAAAATAAAAACATCACTAGAACCTAAGGAGCTAATGTGGTTATCTGCAAAGGGAAAAGAGCAAGCATTGGTAACTAGGAATCAGCAATCTCAGCGCTCTAGAAAAAAATTCTACCAAAAAAGCTAATGGCCTTAGTGAGCAACCAAAACATGTGTGCCAAAGTTGATAAACTAGTGTACAGCACTATGAATTCATCAGGGACTGGCTTGGAACCCTCCTGACTGGGTATGCAGAAGTCTTAGATTTCTGAATCAAGGTCTGAAGCTTTATGGGACAGAGAGAGGAAACACATCACTTTAAAATAAACTCTTAGAAAACAGAAAAACAAATCAGTAATTTAAGAGATTTTTAAGATCAGTAATGTAATTGTTGGTAAGACTGAGGGGAGAATGTATATGCTTTCATGTTACTAGTGGCAGCAATAATATTAAAATTATTTCTTTTAGATGTTTTAACATTTTTGGTAAAACAGTGGAAATACCTGAATATTCACCAGTGGGAACATTGGCACACAGTCTTAGCATGTCTATTCTACATGCCACTGTGCATTAGAAACAATAAAGGTAGATGCATATGTTGACTTGGAAGGAAACCTAGAGCATGTTAGAGAAAGATGTTTCAGAAAAAAACACAATGAAATCATGTCATGTCTTATAAACCTGATATATACACTTACCTCCTACCTGCAGCACCACACTTTTTCTGAATTTTCCAGATGTTGTTCCCACATAGCAGCTGTAAGTACCTTCATCCTTACGGCTTAATCTTCTGAGATACAGGGAGGCATTTCCATTGTGAATCTCATTATGGAAGAGGGCTGTCCTTTTCTTGTATCTGGGATCTTGGTTCCCCAAATGGTCATGGCCTTGGTAGTATGAATGAACATAGCCAGTATCTTGAATCTTCCAGTGAATAACAGTGACTTCAGACTCATTCTCAAATGAGCAAGGGAGAATTACATCTTCATCAAGTTTTCCTATGACCTTTTTTTCAACATTGTTATAAAAATTACTGAATAAAGTAAATTGTGTGTCTGAAATCAAAAGCAGGGAAGTAATGAAGAGAATTAGTAATGGATGCTTATGTTATGGTAGGACTACTTAGAGGAATTATCCTAGGTCAGTAGTCTGGTCATTAACTGACAACACCATCAAGCATTTTGGCTAATATGATTAAATAGAAAGAAGCTATGAGAACCCTTTTGAACAGCTGTAATTTTAATCGATTACCTGTTTGGGTATAGCCCAAAGCACAGAAACTCTAGTATGCCATCTACTTGATTAATGGTCTCACTTTTCCCCTGTTCCTGGTTTGCCACAGTCCTGAAGTTATGCTGATGATACATACAGAAGACTTCCATTCCTGTTATTCCCTGAATATATGCACTTGAGGTAAGTTTTTCTAAATAGTTCAGCTTTTTTTTTCTGTATTTCACACATAACTGAAATCATACTGTGTATGACATATCACTAAACCTAATGCCCTATTGATTTATTCCTCTATTTTAAAATGGCAGGAATTATTTTTTTTAAAGCTAAATAGTATCCCTGATGTGTGTATGTATATATTATATCATAGCTTCCTTATCCATCCAGTCAATGAAAAGCATTTAGATTAGTTCTTGGCTATTGTAAATAATGCTGAAATATACATGGTGGATGCAAATTCTCTTCAAATTAATATTTTTGTATTTTTAGGGAAAATACCCAAAAGCGGGATAATTACATCAAATGGAGTTTCTATTTTTAGTTTCAGAAACCTCTATACTCTTTTTCACAATGGCTACAGCAATTTTCATTCCCAACAATAATGTAAGGTTCTCTTCACATCCTAATACTTATGGCTTGTCTTTTGGAGAGTAGCCATTCTCACAGGTTTGATACCTCGTTGTTTGGATTTGCAGTTCCTTAGTGAGAGACATCTTTCATGTGTACCATGGGCATCTGTATGTCATCTTTGTAGCACTATATTCAGATATTCTGCCCATTTTTTTTTTAAAGTCAGGTTGTTGTGTTTTATTAATTCCTTGGATATTAACCCCTCCTTAGAGATAACATTCGGTAGGATGTTTTCTTTTGATGTAAATTTCTTTTATTGTGAAGGAATTTTTTGGTTTGATCCCATTTGTGTGTGTTTTTTTTATTTTGTTTACCTTGCTATTGGAATATCTCTAAGGCTAATGTATAGTAGTATATTCCCTACATTTTCTTCTATGTATTTTGTGTTTTGGGTCTTACATCCAGTTCTTAACACAATAACAAACCCAGCTAGCTGGAGCTAGTAGGCTTTAAAAGAACATAACTAATTAGCTTAGTTTTGTCAAGCATTGTTTGGGGAAGGTAGAAGAAAAGTGCTGGGTTCAGGTATCTAGTGGAAATATCCAGCTCCCATTCCTATGCAGGAGAGATCCCAACAAGGGGAAATGACTCATTTATTTTGACTTTAGAAATAGTGAGTTTTCTGGATATAAATGCAGGAGTCCAAATCTTTTGGGGTATGTGTATACTCAACTCAGGAGATGATTTTAAATGGCACATGGATTCAACACAATGAAGTTTTTTTTTTTCCAAAACAGTAATTTCATAATTGCTGAAGGCAACATGTAGCTTCTTACACTAATTCACAAACTTTAAAACTTGTGCCCTATATGGAGTGCATGGTAAATGTCTTTGAACCTTTGCCAATGGCCAGCTATATCCCATTTCTTTCCCTCAGTTTCTTTATTTCTGTACAAAGGGCTAGAGGGAGTGGCATTAGACTGATGGAAAGATGGGGATAAAAAGGATTTTTTGTCAAACTTCCAACATGTACCACTAATCCCCTCTAATATTGCACTGAATAATTAAAAATGACTACAGTTAAGTGTTAACTATGGACCAAACTTACCTTTCTGTCGATTTTAGAAAACTTAGTCTGTAGAAAACAGACTAAGTTATATTTTAACCTTTTAGAAAAGTCAAAGCTATGGTGAGAGGAAACAGCCACCTTCTATTGTGTGCTCATGTTCCTACATAATGACAAATAGCTAACCCTTAGGTGTACTATAAAGAAACTTACCTGAGAATGTACTTAGAAAGAGCATAAACATGAAGAAATACAGCACTTCCTGTCTCACAGCAGTCATGAGTTATACTATCAAAAAGAAGCAAAGTATGCATGTTATCAATTGTAGAAATTGGAAAAGGTTGTCAGATTATAGATGCTTACAACTAACTGTTATAGATGTTACAACTAACTGTTGTAACATTCATACAAATCTTTTGCAACTATTAAAGATGATATGCCAGAGATATTTCAAAGGCATGGGATGTTCTTAAAACAAATTTTAAGTAGCAAAATATACAATGGGATTTTAACTTGAAGAGAATATTGAATCATGATTTGGTGTGCCTTCAACATGCTGTCTGGTTAACAATTTTTGTCATTTTCTAGATGGACAGAAATACAGCAAAACCTGGAAACATTCTTAAGTCCAATAGTGGTGCAAATCATAAGGCATCACATGTAACTGTTTTTTAAAGAGTAAAGGTTTTAGCACCAGACTAAAAGCTTGTTTAAGCATATGAAAAAAATGTTCAATATCACCTGTAATAAGAGAGATGCAAATTAAAACCACCCCAGTGAGAATCCTTGTTGGCAATGATGTGGATAAAAAGGAACTCTTGCACTGCTGGTGGGAATGCAAATGAGTACAACCACTATGGAAAACTGTTTGGAGCTTCCTCAAACTGCTAAATATGGAGCTTCCCTACGACCCAGCAATCCCACTCCTAGGTATCTACCCAAAAGACACAAAACACTGATTCAAAAAGATACCTACACCCTCATGTTTATTGCTGCTTTATTTACAACTGGAAAGACATGGAAACAGACCCCCCCCCCAAAAAAAAATGCTTTTTGCAGCGACATGCATGGAGCTGGAAAAGATCATGCTTAGTGAAATAAGCCAGAAAGAAAAGGAAAAATACCAGATGCTTTTACTCATAGCAGCAGTATAAAGGACCAGGCAAGAAAATAATAAACAGCTCTATACCGGAAACATTTTATGGGGGTGGAATGGGATCAAAAGCAGTAGGGGAGGGAAATGCACTGGACTATGGTGATGGTAAGCACACAGGGATTACAACTGAGATGGAAAATGATGGAAAAATAAACTTATTCTAAACAATCTTCTATTTTAAATCATATTTAATTTAGAACCTTTAGAGTTAAAAAAAAATCACTGGGAAGCTATGTTACAAAATCATACTAGAAACTTGTTGGATATAGGATTTAAGAATCACAAACTATTCTAATATTTGAAATTTGTTTCATAAACATAAAAATTAGAAAAACAGTAAGAATAAATAGGGGAAAGTTATCATTCCAGCAGCTTCTCAGAACAAAAGCTAAAATGACAAAGTTAAAAACAAACAATAGTATTATGAAAACAAGAACTTTATACTGCTTCTTAGATACATCTACATGTACAATGTATGGAAGGATATTTATCAATGATTATTTCTAATTAAAAGATTACAAGTAATTATATTGTAAATTCAGTTTCTCTATGTACATATGTCAACTCACCTGTACAGGTAGCTTTCCTATCATGGGTTTATCTTCTCACTCTTCACAATGACATGAACATTTCCTCTTCCCACCTTCCACTCATCTGACGCTCTTGCTTCATTAATTAGTGGCGATATTGACTCATCTACCAAATTCAATCACCCATTAACAGCTATGTCCATTCTCTCTGCTCCTTTCCAAAACCAAATATTTTGCTCTCACCCACATTTCTTTGAATAAGAAATTTATCCTTACTGTTATACATCTATACTGCATCAGATTATAAGGTCAAACTCATAAGCACAAATGTTAATGAACAAAATATGACATCTGAACATGAGGAAAAACCCAATATGCTGTTGATCAGCTGCCTATCTTATTGGGATAGTTATGTAAATAGACACCCTATTTCCCCTTTGCAATCTCCTCTGTCTACTCCCGACCTCTGTCTGCATGACAAGGGCACAAAACTGCCCTTGAAGGGATCCCCAAGAACTCCTATGTTGCCCAAAACAAAATACATCCTCCTTATTTAATTTACCATATATGTCTGTTATACTTACTCCCTAGATGAATTCCTCTCATCTGTGTTTTAAGGCTCCTCAAACTTATTTGAATTAAGGTCATATATATTCGATTGCCCAGTGAACCTGTTCATCTAGATCCCTTGCAGGCAAAATGGAATTAACAAAACCCATCATCTCCATTTCCTTTCCTTTGTCGTTGTTCCTTGCCCACCCCAAATAAAACAAGACAAAAATTATTCCACCAATCTTCATTTCAATAACTGATATCAAATACTCTCAGTTGTTTAGGTCAGAAACCTAGAACTCAATCTTTATTATTTCTTTCCTTTATATAACATTAACAAGTGTATTGTTAATGGATTAGATACCATTCCATTATTTCTTCACTTCTCTAATTCTGCCATTACCCTATTCGAAGGCCACTATTATCTCTTACCTGGATATCTAAAGTATTTTACTATTATATCACTCCTTTTTGTAAAACCTTGCTTTGTAGACTGGCAACATAATAGCCAAGAATCATTTTTAAAACATACATCCTTCTGTGACGTCGTCCTAATTCAGTGCTGCCAGTGGCTTCTCACCACACTCTGATCCAAATTCTTGATCCTTGTCTTCCAAGTCCTGTATATCCTGGGTCGTTGCCTTGCCTGCCCCAGACTCTCCCACAACAGCACATACAGGATGTGCCTTCCCAAAGACTTGTGTACACAAATGCTCCCCTTCTAGGGTCAGCAGGGATATCAGCTGAAAATTAGGTCCTTGAAAACTATATAATTCATGTCTTTCGAATAAAATGACAAATTACTGTAAACCATTTATCATCCAACATAAAGTGCTATGAAAAAAAAAATTCAACCTCTTCTACACAAATACTTGATTTAGCACTATTGAAATAATTTCAGCATTCAGTTAAGTGAAGCTGTTAATGAGTGTTTGGCCCTATTTTTATGCCCAAATTTTATATTTAGACATTTATTTTCTTTCCCCAATGCAGCAAAAATCTTCCACCTTGGATTAAGCTGAAGTTACCCAAGTTGCAATCAGCATCCTTACAAAAGGGCTCAAATGTTAGAAGCATCTTGTCCTGGTACATTTTGGCTGAATTCCAGATGTGAGGAAGAAAAGCAAAAAGTAACAGTCTCTGTAATGGAACATGGCAAAAAAGAATCCAGATGCTAAAACTAATCAGATTGGAGAGAAGATTGAAGTCATTCTAGTGTCAATAAGGAAGAACAACACAGTTACCCCTGTGCCCATCTTAACAGCTACAAAACACATTGACTACAGCCATCAGCGCTAATTATGACAAACCTCATTTGTCTTTAAGTTAGATTTTTCTAGCCTCCACATCACTAACGTTGGAAACTAGTGCTGGCCTCGTAACTGCTGGCCTAGATGTGACCAGAGCCACATAGCAAGTCCATTCTCTGAAAACAAGACTGCTTCACATCACTCACATTATGCCAGTTGACGTTATGAATTCCTTGAGGAAAAGCAGTTTGCAGGGGGCTCTGTTTTCCTCTGCATTGCTTTTAAATTCAGTCTCTCCATGGTGCTCATGGCACTCAGCCAATTTGCGAAAGAAGTCATAACAAAAGGAAAACACTTAGTAGCCTCCTAGGGATTTCTCCTTAGCATCCACTTAGATTTTAATAGGATTGACTTTTTAGGTAGAAAAAAGAACAAAAGAACAATTTTAGGATTACTCTCTCTTTACTCAAAAAAATCTCCCCTGATGTTTTATAGTGGAATCCCACCCCTTGAGGATTCCCATATTGGGCTGAAATTTTGAATCTCTGGGGGGTACTTCATGCTCTGTTTCTTTTTTGCAGGGTGGAGTTCTTAGTTTGCGTTTTTGTCTTGGGAAGTCAGGATAGTAATAGGTGATGATTTATTTTGGGAAAGAACAGAAGTGCAGTTGCAGGGCAAGAAGAATAAAGGAGAGAAAATGAAACAAAACAAAAGAAAGCAGGTACTATGTGGGGATTATCACACTACTTTCAAATAGAACGCTGTGACCTGTCCAGTGACAAGGACAATCTCCAGGCACTTTCTATAGGTCCAGCAGCTCAAACAATTCATTAGAAGATGAGTGCAAAAGGAATTTCTCCAGGGGTGGTAATGACCATGTTCTTCCTGATTGTGCACCTGGCCCTCAAAACAGCCATGCAGGATGCCAGATGTTAGGCCTCACTGTAAGTCCTACTAAGTTTAGAAAGGACAGGAAGCTACAGCCTCTGGGAGTCTCGTTAGGTCATGCCTGGATTCTAGCTACTGCAGTTCCAACTGAGGTAGGCACAATGGCCTCCCCAGGGAAGGTGGGTTCAGCTACTGACATTTGGAAACGAGGCAATAACACTGGAGTGGGGGCCTCCTTTGTCCAGGAAAGGACAAAGGTATAGGAAGGCCAAGAAAATCTTGGGAGGTTCATAAACTGGGTCCAGTAGTAGCTATTTCAAGTATGCCACATATTCTATCTGATATTTATGTATTAGCAGGCCACTAACCACTTGCCCACATCCCTTGTGACTGCTTTCACCAGTTCAGTTTGCACACATGCATGGCTCAGCTACTGCTCCCTGCACACACACGACTTCAACTTCCCTGAAGGTTGTACACAGGCAATAGAAACCTGGTTCTGGGCTTAGACTTCTGCTGTATCCCTGAGGCTTGCAGATAAAGTCATCTGTGCTCCAGAACTCCCCTGAGAATGCCATGTCCTAGCTGAGGTTCATCCTCTGTCCCATCTTGCTTCTCACACTTCCTTACTTTCCTTACAGCTTTCTTCTGAAACATCCCCTTAGGGTCCGCAAACACCCATCTCAGGTGACACTGGTCTTCTGGAAGCAGATCCTGAGACCAAACTCATGTACAGGAAGTTCACCACATGAGAGAATCTAGGGTACCTCTGTCCCCAAAGGCAGTTTTTTACTTTAGATTCCTACAAAGAAATATTTCTTCTTGTCAAACAGATCATATAATTCTTCTCAATATCCTCTATATAAGAAATAATGTAACTGGACTTTTTTTTTTTTAAGCAAGAATGATGTT